AGGACATGTAGACCATACAAACACTTGTCAACCAGGACACATAGACCAAAAAAACAAACACTTGTCAGCCAGAACACATAGACCAAGAAAAACACTTGTCAGCCAGGACATGTAGATCAGGAAAAACACTTGTCAACCAGGACACATAGACCAAGAAAAACACTTGTCAGCCAGAACACATAGACCAAGAAAAACACTTGTCAGCCAGGACACATAGACCAAGAAAAACACCTGTCAGCCAGGACATGTAGACCAAGAAAAACACTTGTCAGCCAGGACACATAGACAAAAAAAAAACACTTGTCAGCCAGAACACCTAGACCAAGAAAAACACCTGTCAGCCAGGACACATAAACCAAGAAAAACACCTGTCAGCCAGGACATGTAGACCAAGAAAAACACTTGTCAGCCAGGACACATAGACAAAAAAAAAACCTCTTGTCAGCCAGAACACATAGACCAAGAAAAACACCTGTCAGCCAGGACACATAGACCAAAAAAAAAACACTTGTCAGCCAGAACACATAGACCAAGAAAAACACCTGTCAGCCAGGACATGTAGACCAAGAAAAACACTTGTCAGCCAGGACACATAAACCAAGAAAAACACCTGTCAGCCAGGACACATAGACCAAAAAAAAAACACTTGTCAGCCAGAACACATAGACCAAGAAAAACACCTGTCAGCCAGGACACATAGACCAAAAAAAAAACACTTGTCAGCCAGAACACATAAACCAAGAAAAACACCTGTCAGCCAGGACGCATAGACCAAAAAAAAAACACTTGTCAGCCAGAACACATAGACCAAGAAAAACACCTGTCAGCCAGGACATGTAGACCAAGAAAAACACTTGTCAGCCAGGACACATAGACCAAGAAAAACACTTGTCAGCCAGGACATGTAGACCATACAAACACTTGTCAGCCAGGACACATAGACCAAGAAAAACACTTGTCAGCCAGGACATGTAGACCAGGAAAAACACTTGTCAACCAGGACACATAGACCAAGAAAAACACTTGTCAGCCAGAACACATAGACCAAGAAAAACACTTGTCAGCCAGGACACATAGACCAAGAAAAACACTTGTCAACCAGGACACATAGACCAAGAAAACAAACACTTGTCAGCCAGAACACATAGACCAAGAAAAACACCTGTCGGCCAGGACATGTAGACCAAGAAAAACACTTGTCAACCAGGACACATAGACCAAGAAAAACAAACACTTGTCAGCCAGGACATGTAGACTATACAAACACTTGTCATCCAGGACATGTAGACCATACAAACACTTGTCAACCAGGACACATAGACCAAGAAAAACAAACACTTGTCAGCCAGGACACATAGACCAAGAAAAACACTTGTCATCCAGGACATGTAGACCATACAAACACTTGTCAGCCAGGACACATAGACCAAGAAAAACACTTGTCAGCCAGGACATGTAGACCATACAAACACTTGTCAACCAGGACACATAGACCAAAAAAACAAACACTTGTCAGCCAGAACACATAGACCAAGAAAAACACCTGTCGGCCAGGACATGTAGACCAAGAAAAACACTTGTCAGCCAGGACACATAGACCAAAAAAAAAACACTTGTCAGCCAGAACACATAGACCAAGAAAATCACTTGTCAGCCAGAACACTTAGACCAAGAAAAACACCTGTCAGCCAGGACATGTAGACCAAGAAAAACACTTGCCAGCCAGGACACATAGACCAAAAAAAACCACTTGTCAGCCAGAACACATAGACCAAGAAAAACACCTGTCAGCCAGGACATTGTAGACCAAGAAAAACACTTGTCAGCCAGGACACATAGACCAAGAAAAACACTTGTCAGCCAGGACATGTAGACCATACAAACACTTGTCAGCCAGGACACATAGACCAAGAAAAACACTTGTCAGCCAGGACACATAGACCAAGAAAAACACTTGTCAGCCAGGACATGTAGATCAGGAAAAACACTTGTCAACCAGGACACATAGACCAAGAAAAACACTTGTCAGCCAGAACACATAGACCAAGAAAAACACTTGTCAGCCAGGACACATAGACCAAGAAAAACACCTGTCAGCCAGAACACATAGACCAAGAAAAACACCTGTCAGCCAGGACACATAAACCAAGAAAAACACCTGTCAGCCAGGACACATAGACCAAAAAAAAAACACTTGTCAGCCAGGACACATAGACAAGAAAAACACCTGTCAGCCAGGACA